CAGAAAGTTTGTGATAGTTTGTTATGGGAGCAATTGAAAGCCTTCTTTCAGATACAAAGAAATATCAAGTTAAAGTGACATTAATTTGCTGATTAATGGCAAATTTTGGCTAATCTGAAGAGATCTTTACCCTCAAATTTACGTATTTATTGTTAAGCCTCTTAATTTATAAATGACAAAATACAATAAAGGAATGAGTACAAAGATAAACTTCAAAAAATAACATAAATAATTAAACTATAAATAATTATTAAAAGATAGGAGGCAACTACTATGGAATTACACAGTATTTTGGAGAGTTATAGTAGATTATCTTAAGGATTAGATAGTCAGAATATAGTGGCATATGGGTGTATCTGACATTTTTAGAATTTCTGGGGCCACACAAATGAGTGGTCACAAAAATATTACATTAAAATAAACTTCTACTCATGAGAAGCTATGAGAGTAGATTATATAATTTTATCTTTTAACGAAAGTATGATTTCCCTTCCACATGAAGGTTGGGCAAAGTAAGCTCACATACCAACAAAAAGCATAGTTTTCGTAGTTTCTGTAGTGTAAGCAGAGAGATTCTTTCTAAATGTTCTGTCTTTCTCATTTCATCTGGTGCAGAGGAAATATGAAGTATTAGCCCTGAGAAGACTGTTGAGAGATTTATAGTGAAGATGGCACTGTAAATTTAGACTTTCATGTATTCACACAGAACCAAAAATGTAACAGTAATAGATAAAAACATTAAGAAAGAAAACCAAAAAGACCTAGTCAGACTCAAAGAGATACATATCCAGGGATAGGAAGAAGATGAGAAAAGCCACAAGCTTTGCTGGACTTTAAATCCAAAAATAAATACTGACGGCTGAAATTCACTTTCTAAAGACTAACTGGGACAGAAAACATACCACTCAAGGTGGAGGACTGAAACGACAACCACCACGCAGAGCTAGGGTCTGAGGGGGAACTCACCTCCTAAAATAAAACAAACAACAAAAATTATTATATCTGCTGCTCTGGCCCCGGTGCACATGAAGCTTCAGGCTTAGACAGGGAGAAAATAGGTACAGGTCTTTGACTATGAAGTACCAGTTGGCTTGATCTGCACTATTGTTAATTCAGCATATAGCAAGGATTCCAAATAATATGATAAAACCTGATTTTTCCCTTGGATCCAGGGAATTTGAGACAACCACAAAACCATGAGACACACAGGGATGAGCACAGAAGTAGAGCCAGAAAGGCAAAATAAAAACATCAAATGCATATCCTAATAATGCAATACCACGTCAAGTTGAATGACTAAGGTTACATAAGTTAACATAGGTAACTTTTAAAAATCTAAACCTTTTTAACTCTCACCCTGCACAAAAGTCAACTCAAAGTGGATCAAGTATTTAGGCATTAGACCAGATAGGGCACCTACTAGAAGAAAAAGTAGGCCCAACTTTCCACTATGTCAGCTTAGGAACTGACTTCCTCAACAAGACTCCTAAAGCTCAAGAAGTAAAATCAAGAATCAAATGAGGTGGCATCAAACTAAAAATCTTCTTAACAGCAAAGGAAACATTCAAGAATGTGAAGATAGAGCCTACAGAATGGGAGAAAATCTTTACTACTGGCACCTCAAACAGAGCATTAATCTCCAGAATATATAAAGAACTCAAAAAACTTAACACCAAACAAACAAAAACAAATAACATAGTCAATAAATGGGCTAAGGAACTGAACAGGCACTTTACAAAAGAAGAAATGAGATCTGTCAACAAATACATGAAAAAAAATGTTCAACATCTCTAGCAATTAGAGAAATGCAAGTCAAAATTACACTGAGATTCCATCTCACTGCAGTTAGAAGTATGGCAATTATCAAGAATATGAGCAACAATAAATGCTGACAAGGATGTAGGGGAAAAGATCCTTCATACATTGTTGGTGGGATTGCAAGTTGGTGTAACCACTATGGGAAGCAGTATAGAAACACATTTGACCCACTTATCCCACTCCTTGGTTTATATCCAAAGGACTTACAATCAGTACTATGACACAGCCACTTCCATGTTTATATCAGCTCCATTCACAAGAGCCAAGCTATGGAACCAACCTAGATGTCTTTCAACAGGTGAATGGATAAAGAAACTCTGGCATATATATAGAGGGGAATATTCAGCCTTAAGGAAGAATGAAATTATGGCATTTGCCAGTAAATGGATGGAACTGTAGAAATTATACTAAATGAAATAAGACAGTCCCCAAAAACCAAAGGCAGAATGTTTGCTCTGATATGTGGAGGCTAACCCACAACAAGGTAGGAGAAGATTAGGAATTCATTGAACTAGACAAAGGGGAATGAAGGAAAGGGAGCAGGATTGGGAATAGAAAAGACAGTAGAATGAACTGGACATAGCTTTCCTATCCACATATATGATTACACACCAATGTAATTCCACATCATGTACAACCACAATAATGGGAACCTAATTCGAATAAGTTATACTTATTCTATGTATGTATAATATCTCAAAATATACTCTACTGACATGTAAAAAATTGTAAATAAATATTTTAAAAATCTATTGTGGGGTGAAAATGCAGAATAGCACTAAAGAAACAATTTACATAAAGTTTTAAATATGCAAAATATTTATATAACATTGCTTATGGACACACATATATATATAATCATATGTATAAAGTCATATATTGGTTAACAACAGGATACACTCTGACAGCTGCATTGTTAAACAATTTCATTCACTGTGCTAACATCATAGATTGTGCTCATATAAACCTCCATGGTGTAGCCTACTGCACACCCAGGCAATAGGGTGTAGCCCACTGCTCTTAGTCTACGGTCCTGTTCAGCATATTCCCATGCTGAATACTGCATACAGTTGTTACACACTGGTAAATATCTGAGTATCTAAACATAGAAAGGTACAGTAAAAAATAAGGTCTAAAAGATTTTAAAAATTGGCATTCCATAGAAGGCACTTACCATGTAGGAATGCAAGTTGCTTGGGGTGACTCAGTGAGTGGTGAGTTAATGTAAAGCTTAGGATATTACCATCCACTACTATAAACCTTATAAACATTGTACATTTAGGCTACACTAGATTTATTCTAAAAATTTCTTCCATCAATAATAAATTTACCTTACTATATCTTTTTTTTTTACTTTATAAACTTTAAAAATTTTTAACTTTTTTACTCTTTTGTAATATTTAGGTTAAATCACAAACATATTGCACAGCTCCACTAAAGAAAAATCTTTACATCCTTATTCTGTTTTTAAAATTTCTTTTATTTTTAAGCTATTTTGCTAAAAAAAAAAAAAACTAAGCACACATTAGCCTAGATCTACCCAGGGTCAGGATCATCAGTATATCAATGTCTTCCATCTCCACATCTTGTCCCACTGGAAGTTCTTCAATAACACACTGTTATTGAAGAACTGTTGTCTCCCATGAGAACAGTGTCTCCTCTGTAATACCTCTTGAAGAACCTGCCTAAGGATCTTCCGGAGGAAGTATTGCTCTTTGTAGAAATATATCCGTGATTCTCTCCTCGATTTCTTTCTTCTTCTTCTTTTTTTAATCATAAATTTGCTTGTGAGAAGATAATGTACCATAACCATGTCTCTCTATTAATGAGAACCTTTTGGCATTAGGTGCAGGTCATTGAGATCAGCAAAACCTTCTGCTAAACCTTTCATTGTGGATTTTCTTAGGGTTCTTCTTTTTCTTCTCCTGCAGTTTCCTTTTCTCTTTCCTCTTTTTCAGCTATGTGTTCACAGGCAATAGGGATTGTTCAGTACCATTGTAATTTTATGGGACCACCATTATAAATGTGACGCATTGGCTGTATTACATAAATCCATATAAATATATCAGTTTGCAGATAATAAACATTTTAGAAACTAAGTGTCCTCAAGAAGACGACTAAGGATTATTTGTCTACACAGCCTTCCAGGATAGGTAGATGCTTTGCTTCATGAGGTTCCTCCAAGAATGCCAATGAGCAGGGTAGCTCTGGCTTCTTAGATTGTGCCAAAGTTGTTTCAGTTACCACATTTCCAGCCAGTGGGAAGGAGGAAAATTTAGAGGGCAAGCGTCTTTAAGGAATTTACCTGAAAGTTGCAACTGTCCTTAATTTAGTCATGCCTTGCTGCATGAGAGGCTTGGAAATGTGGTTCATTTATGTGGCCACATGCCCAGATAGAATGCACTGTTAGAGAAAATAATGTACTGGGACCCCATCAGCTATCTCTGCCAAAACAGAGCTATCATGGAAAAAAAAAAGTGTTTATCTCTAGGAAAAAAGAGAAGGAAAAGAGATGAAGAAGGATAGACAGGAAGCTTTAAATGTAATGTTTAAAAAATAATGAATACATATCTGCTAAATTGTTAGAATTTCCTAAACCTGTTTAATAAACCAATAGAATCTGTGTTAAGCACTATTCCACAAACAATTGCCCAAACTTATGAATTGAGCATATAAATATCTGTGTAACTAAGCATAGTATTGAATATAGTACTGTGTGATTTTAAATAAATAGTCGACAGGTAGACCATATATTTAGTATCTATATGCTTCAATAGTTCTATTGATTTCATTTTTCTTCATTTTATATAAGAATGAATATGGTCCTATTTCAATGACAAATTCCACACAAATAAATCATTAAGACTCTGGGCCAACATGTGTTTAGCATGCACAAGGCCATGGATTCAATTCCCAACACTGAAAAGAAAAAAAGAAAAAAAAAAGTTGATTTTTATAAGAAAAGGATTAAAAATTCTTAATTCACTTATTTACTTGTTTTACTGTGTTATTAATATGGTGTCTTAGGTGTAGTGGGTTATTTAATGCAAATATTATATTAAATATCTTATTAATTATGTAGCTCTGGATTGCTTAGGACAGTTCTGCTCAAATTTCTAAAGACTGGGACTAATTCAAAAACTGTTTGTGATCTGTGGTTTCTTAAGTTCAGGAATCAAGAATATACCTTAGGAATCTTTTATAGCATTTGACCATAATTTTTTGTCTACAGAATTTAAAAAGAAACATCATGTTTATTATCTTCTCTGGCAGTCCATTTCTGTTGTATTTCGATTGGTCCACAACTGCTTGAAAATTTAAAAACCTGGTTGTTGCTAGGAGAGGTGGTACATAACTATAATCCCAGCAACTCGGGAGACTATGGCAGGAGGATCACACATTCCAGGTCAGCCTCAGCAATTCAGCAAAACCCTGTATCAATATAAAATGAAAAAATAAAAAGAACTGGGAATGTAGCTCAGTGGTAAAAGGCCCATGGGTTCAATCCCCAGTGCAAACAACAACAAAAATCTGGTTTCCCCACAGTTAATAGCCAAAAAAATCCAGTAACTATGAATTAGGAGCCCAAAAATTCCTAGACTTATTTATTTAATATGATAACTATAAAAGTAATGATAAAGAGTGTTTATAATATCTTATATTTATTTAGCATTTAATAGTTCACCAAGCTTCTTATTGTGGCGGAAAAGGATCATTATCCTCATGCTACAGATAAGAAAACTGAAACTCAGTTGAGTGAGTGATCTGGCCAAAGCCTTTCATTTACTAGATAGCAGAGCTTTAAGTAGAACATGAATTTTATAATGCTAAACCAGTATTCTTTCCACTACCTCATGCACAAGAGTGAAATATATGCTGGTTTGATAGGAAAATTGAAACCATGATTGTATCACTCAACTTTGAAATGAGGTTATTCATGCTTTTGAATTCAATTGGAGCTGAATGTTCCTGGGGATACAGAGAGACAGAAGAATCTATTCAGACTTGAACTTTTTCTTTTAGACTATAGTCTTTAATCTCAAAGTATCTTAGAGCTTTGCTTTCATTGTCTACACAGACTCAAGGGTAATAAAATGTTAATATGTTGTTGATACATCAAGTCTAAAATGTTAAGGAATGAAATAGAAGGCATATACTAAACAAACTAATTTTAGAAAATATGTTCCAGTTAGTGCTACCCAGTAATAAGCCACTAGCTAGATATGACTATTGAAATTCAAATTAAATTAAATTTTTAGTTATTTAGTTGCACTGACCACATCTTAATGCTCAATAGCCTGGTGGCTGGTGTTTATTATGTTTGACAACATAACCATAGAACATTTCGATCGCTGTAAAAACTTCTATTAGATGGTGCTATTATAGTTTCCCCAGTCCCATGGGGACTCTTATCTTTGAAGAATTTAAAGTGAAAAAAGAAGTAAAGAAAAGAAAACCAGGAGTCTTCTACAATAAAAAAAATCTAGTTATATGTACCTAATAATTATTTCCAAAACCAAATTGCTTCATATACAATGGATAGTTAAAGAAGGAAGTGAAAAGAACCCTATCCTAGATTTCATAGAGACGGATTATCATAAAACATGCATTGGAAGAAAATCCAAAGTCTAATATTGAGAGAGAAATTATAGTAAGATGCTTAAAAAATGTTAATAGCATGTTTTACTTTTACAATTTTAAAAAAGAAAAAAAATGTAGGCGATGGCAACAAAGGGAAAATAAAAGTAATATTCTGTACCTCTCTGAGAGCTTGGAGCAAGGCCAGCATAGCAGATCCAAAAATTATGCTGAATAACATAGGACACTATGAGAATTAAGGTGAAGTTAACTTATCATTTGATAATAGAAATTAGAAATGCAGAGTAGAAAATCTAAAATAATAGGACAAAATGAGTCTTTTATAGCAAGCAAATCAACCATGACTTAAAGTCCAGAAAGTAGAGTATGTTTTTAATGCGTCTCTGAAGAAAGACATATGGTCAGCATTCTGAGCCCTAATTCCTAGCCAGCTGCCATGTTCAAATCACAAGGTGCATCTCAGGCAAAAGCACTCTCTGCTGTGTTTACTATTTTGTTTCTCACTCTGATGAAACTGTGAATCTGTCTGAACTCACACAAAAGCCTCAAGGACTTTTTGACCCCTTTATCTTAAGGCCTATATCAGAATTAGGCCACCATCTGGTCCACATAGCTTCCCAAGGTAAGGGAGGCCTGAAAATTCCTCCAGCCTCCACCTTACTACCCCAGTGACTTGACAGGAAGAAAGGTAGGCACAAAGGAGAGCCAGAGGGTAGAAGATGCAGAAAATAGACAGGACAAGATGGGCTCCAATCCAGACCTGTTTATATCCTTTACCTGTATGCAAGCTCCTCCTCATCGAGGAGACAAGGAAAAAAGAAGAATATGATTTATTTGAATCATTAGTAAAGACAAAATATATTTACTCCTAAAATATCTTCTCTGAAATCAATTAAAATAACCATAGATTATCTACATTTTAAGAAGGCTTTCTGAACAGCTTATTTGATTCTTGCCAACAGGAAGAATTCATTGGAAATCTAAAGATAGGTGGCAAAGCTGGCAGATGTGATCACAAGTGCTCACAAGATGCCTGCAGGAAGCAGAGGTGTGGAAGAAGCACAGGCTCTAGAAACAGGTGGATCCTCTGTTCGGATGGGTCTGGGCCTCTCCCTGTTGTACAGGAGGAATTGATAGCAACTGATACATCACATTATCTGCAATTCACCTAGGGATAGAAATAGCTACCAGACAGAAAGGAAGAGATATCCAATTAGAACAAATAAAAAGAATTTTTATACAATTCAGAGTTGGAACTGTTGGGATTCAATGTAAAGGGAATAAAAAATCCAAAGTTAATCAACTGTTAGTTAAAAAAAAATAACAGCTATATATACTCATTGCCAAATTATTCCAAGGAGGAGAAGGGTAATGAAAAAAATTAAGTTGTCTATAGACTAACATCTAAAGGCAATTGAATCTAACTGCAAAAATGTGGAAGTAAGATCTGATCAGTGTAGATTAGCATTAGCAAGGGACTTAATGCAAATGTTTTCAAAGATCAAGTCAGAAAATATAAGCATATAAATAGTAGAGAATGGTGCAGCCTGCAGAGAATGAGAGTATTCAAATTTTAAAATGTTAAAAACCATGTGTGCTGTGCAAAACAAATCTGCAGGCAGAATTTGACCCAAGGGATGTAATTTTGGAACCTATTTATACAAAGCAATGATGAACTCCCATCTACAGATTAGCTATGTACAACATGAAACAAAGGAAAAGATCCTATCAACCCAATCTAATTCGCTTTGTACCACAAGTGGATGAGGATCTGGGAAAATAAATGCTATCTACCTTTTTCAAAAAACATAAATATTGGTGTTGTTAAAAATCATGGTTGCTATTCATTCCACATCCTGACCCTCTTGCATTAACTTCAGAGAAAGATGAAGAAAAGAGGTATTACAAATACACAGTAGGAGAAGGTATGAAGAGAAGAACATGGAGCCATCATAAAAATATTCCAAACCTGGAACAATGCTAAAAGTGAAGTTTTAAAAACAGGGAAACATTCTAAAAAGATGGGGGTGAATACATTCCAATGATATGACAGGAAGAAAGGTAGGCACAAAGGAGGAGCCAGGAGGGTAGAAGATGAGAAGAGAGCTGAGAGATGGGCTCCAATCCAGTGCTGTTTTTATCCTTGACTCATATGCAAGCTACTCTTCTTTCAAGGTACAGGAAGAAGAAAGAGAACGAGAGAAAAGAAGATTTTTTTTCCTCTCCCTTTATATCTCTGGAACATAAATTAAATATATGACTATATTAAAACTTTTATGTTAATCAGCTCTTTTACTATGACAAAATACCTGAGAAAATAAAGTTAAAAAGATAAAAGGTTTATTTTGGCTCATGGCTTTAGAAGTTTCAGTTCTTGGTTAGTTGGCCCTGTTGCTTTGGGCCTGTGGTAGCACAGTATATCATGATGGGCAGTATGTGACTGATGAGGTCTGTTGACCTCAAGGCAGTTGGGAAGCAAAAACAGGAGACAGGAAGGGGCCAAGGTCTTAATATCCTCTCCAAGGGGATGCCCCAAGTGACCTAACTCCTTTCTATTAGGCTCTACCTCCTAAAGGTTCTAATCTCTTAATGGCACCATGGGCTGGGAACCAAATCTTCAACACAAGGGACTTTGGGGGACATTCAAGATCCAAACAATACACATTTATAGGAGAATTAAAGGAGACTGAAAAAGAAAGGGATTTTTTAAAAAAATCTTTTCACTTTTGTATCTTTTAATCATTTAATCTGTGTGCTTTTAGGGTTTTATCCTTTGGACTTTGGAGTCTTTGGGGACCTTTGAGACTTGGGGGCTATTTTGTATCTTTTGGACTGAAGAATTCTGTTTTCTTAAAGATGCAAGGATGGAAAAAGTAGAGAACTAATTGTTCAGGATTGATTCTGAAACTTAGACTTAATTTAGGTTTAAATCAAAGAAGTAAGGATACCCGGATATGCCTCTCTGAATTTTTGTAGGTACTTCTTTTGTCTGCTCAGCATTTGAGCCCTTTCCTGGATTTGGGGAATTCTACTCTTTATAAATCTTGATGGGAGAACATGCCTCCCTGCCCAATGTAGAAGCTGGGTGCTCTCCTTTCTAGTCTCCTTTACAGGTAGGATAAAATGTACCAGGCTTCACTTGATTCAGGAGTTAGTAACATAAGGAAGCAGGGACTGTGTAGCGTATAACCCAGAAGCCTTAGTGATAGTAGTCCTGTTACCATATCTAATATTTCTTATCAGTATTGACAGCTATTCAAGATGCAATGTATGGGCAATGGTGACATCATGGGTATAGCTTGGCTTCCAAGTTCAAATTCAGTTATCCATGTAGCTTCCAAGCTAAGGTCCAACGTCCTTCTTGAGATTCTGAGAACTAGCCAATCTCCTTTACTAAATTCTGTTTCAGCTTATGCTAAGCAGAGCTGATTTCTATTGGTTACAAATAAAAGTCTTTAACTGAGAAAGCTCTGAGGTCCAACCCACCAGGAAAGTAAATAAAAGGTTCAACATAGAAGCTCTGTGAAGAAACAAAGACTATGCCCTTGTGCTGTATGTACGGTTGGGAATCTCAACAGGGAGCCATTATGGAAAGTGTGAAAAATCAAAGAGTTATGCCCACTTATACTGAAACTGTTGAGTTTCCCTCCTGATTTTCTTCCTGCTAAATCTAATGACCTCTGTCTACTTCCCAAGGTTAAACTTTCTGCCATATATGACATTGGAGAACATCTTGAGGGCAAAGATTGATCAGGATTGTCTTTTTATTATCACATTGCATTTTGCCTAAGACATGGCACTCAATGAGATTTCAATGAATAAATGAATTAATA